CCCTAGACGCACAGGATGTCTGTGAGATGGCGACTCTCTAGAGGTCATCAGCATGAGGGATGGAAAGGAAGAGAAGGCTCCTGTCACTTGGGCAAGGCAGTTCACCAAGTGCCTTGGTGGGCATGAGTAAAAATCCTATAACCTAGCCACACCAATGTATAGTACTCCTTCCTTACAGGAGGGGAAACTGAGGCTCAGGAAGGTGGACTGGTTTATGGACAGTCAGGGAATCAGCTAGAGAAAGAGTCCAGAGAGAGCCCAGGTTGACTCTCCCACATGGTCTCCCCCTCATGCTGCTTCCCTCAAGGCACAGAAAGCCCAAAGCTCACATCTGTGGTTGACTAAACTTCAGGTATAAGAAAAAAGGAAGAAGAAGAAGAAGAAGAAGAAGAAGGAGGAGGAGGAGGAGGACAAGGAGAAGAAGGGAGGAGGAGAAGAAGAAATAGAAAATCTCTGTTCTCTTATCAAACATTCCATCTTTTAAAGTAAGTTAAAGACAAAGTGTTGCCTTTAAATGCAGAATTATCAGGTCCAAATGACATCCTTAATTGACCTTGGTTGGTTGCTGTTTGTGTTTTCTTAGTTTCAGTTTAAAGAACTAAGAGCAAAAGTCCATATTGTTTATTCTGTTCCCAGCCTCAGCTTCTCCTCTTTTCTTCCTCCCCCACCCCCAGCCTTGCCAATTTGTAAACAAATCAGAAAATCCCCAATGGGCTGAAAACCTGTCCATAGTTTACTCCAGCTGGAAAGAATTGTGCTCCACCAAGATTCAGACCCCGTTTATAATGGAAACCCTGACGGGCAATGTTGTGATTATAGTCTTGCCATAATGAATGTATCTGTGTGGTCAAAGTCACGGATTTTTCCATGGTATTTTTTCCATGGGAGATTTCCTCCCTGAGAGCTGTTAACTTAAAATCTGGATTATAGCTTTGACTTTAGAGCAGGATCTCTCCTGGCATCGATATAGCTTGAAGTTAGTGATTATATTGACTTTGGTAGGCCTGATTGGCAAGGGGGATATTAGTCAAATTGATTTTTTGCAAGATTGATGAGGGTAGGGGATAGGGATCTGGTGGTATAGAAATTTATGTCAGGAAACTTGTACACTTTCCCAGATTTTTAATCAGGGAGTATGTTCTCTCCTCTCTGAGCTGGTGGCTACATAAAAGGACAAAAAGTGAATAGGGGCTGACAGATATTAGGGTGACCAGCCACCCCAATTGGCCTGGGACTATTTGGTGTTAGCCCTAAAATCTTGCATCCCAGAAAACCCTCCAGCCTCAGGCAAACCAGGATAGTCGGTCACCCTAAATAGTATGGAAAATTGAATTAAATTCAGGAGAGCAGGAAAGTAATAGCCTTATTTCAAAGAATAACCAGACTGAGGTTTAAAGTAAAATCCTTCCTTGATGCTTAAAATACTTAAGTATAATCAGCATTTAGCTTGAGAATGTATTCAGGAAACAGCTCAAAAAGAATGTACAAATCTTATGGTTGGTGCGGCAGAATATAATGTGAAAAACCAAACAAACCACCATTCTAGCTAACAATTTCAGAGGTTAACCTCTCTTCTGCTCTTTTGGAGGCATAAGCAGAACAAGGCATCGTGTGGGGGTTTGGGTCCCCCCTAGGAGGCTGCGGCCAAGGGTCCCACCACCTAGAGTGTTTCCACGGTATCTTGGCTGCGCTCTAAACACTTCTCTCTGCTAGAACAAGAAAAGCATGCAGGAGAGAAGGAAGTCAGAGGCCCATCAGGGGAGCTGGGGTCCCCTACCTGAGCCCCCACATAATGCCCCACCCAAGGGTCTCCCTTTCTGGTCTCAGGTTGTTCTGTTTGCCTTTCCGAGGGCTGCAAAAGCCACCTTTAGGACTGGTACACTGCCTGAGGTGAAGAGAAAGGAAGGAATACAGATTTTATTTATTTATTCATGAGAGACAGAGAGACAGAGAGAGAGAGAAGCAGAGGGAGAAGCAGGCTCCCAAGAAGGAAGGAATACAGAATCCAAACTAAGGCAGACATGGCCAACACCAGAGCCAAAAACATTGGTCCAGGGAGCCCCGGACAAGCCTGTAGAGTGTTGAGAGGAAATGGATATCAGCCCTCCTTTTTGACATCTAAAAAGATATGTCAGGATATGAATATCGAACCTATCTCTGGAGTCATAAACGCCGAGGCTTTGGAGTATGTCTAATATCTCTTTCTGGATTTGTAAATTCAGAGCCTTGTTAGATGTGCGTTAACTTGGCCACGAAGTCCAGGACCTGGGGCTGGAGAAACGGGGCGCAAGGGAAGCAGCCCGCGGGGCTGGACTCTTCCTTCACTCCACGGAAGGTGGGCTTGGCCACATGACTCATTGAGGCCACAGAGCGTGGCAGGACGGGCAGTGTGGCCTGAATTTCCGGCCAGCGCATCCACAGCTCCTCTCCCCAGGATGGAGAGCGCATAGCGCTCTGACTGGCAGCCCGACGCCGAGCCCCGAGGAGGACCCGCAGACCCCGGAGGGGAATGTAAGTGCTCCTTGCTAGATGCCACTGTTGTGTTTGCTTCGCATCCAAAGCTCACACAGGCCCCTGCTTTGAACGAGGGAACTTCACCTCATCGCACCGATCTGATTCTGTTTCAGTCATATGGCCCCACACCTGTCATAAAGCAGCTGTGACAAGGTGGGCACAAGGGCTCTTTGTTCTAGGCTCCCTGCTGATGTCATGGGAGTGCAGAAGACAGAGAACTTGCATTCTCATTTTTCTGCTTTTTTAAAATCAAGGTATAACTGATACACATTATGTTCGTTTCAGGTGTACATCCTAACGATTTGATGTTTGTATATATTGAAAAATGATCACATCTGTCACCACATAGTTACGATTGTTTTTGTGCTTCTTAATAGAAGTACCTGCCCCTTTATCAGAGTTCCGATTACCCCATGGGAGCGGAAGAGCGGCTGTCTTGTTCTTAAAAGATCAGAGTCTTCTCCAAAAAGGCAGGGGGTCTGTAACAGTTTTACAAACACCCGCTTCCAAAACGGCTTGTTCAGGGAGCTCCTGGCTGGCTCAGATGGTGGAGCGTGCCACTCTTGATCTTGGGGTCTTGAGTTTGAGCCCCACGTTGGGTGTGCGATGACTTCAAAAAGTAAAATAATAAAAAACAAAAACAAAATGGCCATTCAGAAGCATTGCTTATGGAAGTACAATCCTCGGTCATCCAGGAAAAACCTAGAAATTCAATTCCACTTACTGGGTATTGACTGAGCGCTTGCCATGAGCCGCCCATGGGCTTACTTACTGCCCAGGGCAAACAGCTGAAGCAGAGAGCCGGCTGCAAGCAGCATACATTCACTGTAGAAACATGGGCATCGACCCTTATTTCCCACAGGTTCTGGAGAGCCCAGGGCTCCCTGCTTTTTAGAAACAGCAGTGAAGGTAGCATTTGTCTGGTCTGTAGTGTTTAAGGATACTGGTAGTCAGTCCCTTTCTTGCATCCTCTGTGGCTTCATGGGATAAGAAGGAAGTGAACTAGCCTTAGAGAAATCAAGAAAGCCACATGGGCAGGTGCAACAGCAGACGTAAGATAAATACCCTCGAAGCCAAGGCCACGGGAGCGACACACGTGTTTTGAAGCTCTGGCTGATGGGCACTTACGGAGGTGGTGATGACAATCCAGTAGACCCAGTATAGAATGCTGAGCTCAGCAAGCAGAGGTTAAGCTACTCCTAATATTCTAGGGAGGAAAGGAGTAGCCTCTGACGTGTGGGAGCTGGTCTGGTGCCCACATTCCTCCGAGCCCTTTGTCCCACCTCTCACTGAGCCGCCCCCACGGGGTACACTCCCCCTGGCTGCAAAGGGTCACGAACGCAGCTGCTTCAGGTCCAGGTGGCCCCTGGTGCTCTTGACCTGAAGGGTGTTGGCCTTTCCCTCTAATAGTATCATACCTGTGCCCCACACATCCCGAGCACAGAGACGAAGACACGTAGTGTAGAGAAGTGAAACCCTCTGTCCAGTAACCGTTTCTTCAGGGGTGCGAGGGCATTCGGTCCCTGGGGAGCCTTCGGGAGGGTCCTGGCCCAGAGTAGCGCCTTCTACTGTCCTGGGCAGAGTCCCCAGTGCCATAGCCCACACCTTCCTGACAGAGTATCCCCTTGGCCAAACCCTGCTCAGGCTCCCCTGAACTTTCCAACGAGGCCTACTTCCACACTTCTCTCTGCTTTGTCCAGTTTTAGCAAGAATCCTGCTGCATCGCTATTAGCAGAATCCTCCACGCTCAAGGTCTCATCCCCTTCTGTATCTGGTCAAATTCCCCAGGCCCCACCGGCCCCAGGTGAGGTCGGACCACCTGGCCTGCCTTCAGCGCGAACCCTGTTAGGTTGGTTTAGCCAGTCTTTCCCTTACCCCTCAGGCTTCCTCTCGGTACACGTCCGTCCACTGACCCCACTCTGCTCCTTGACCCTCAGTTCCCACTTGTCCATGCTGTATCCGGAATGGAGTCCAGGTGTAGACTTTTCTCTTAACCCCTATTGCAATGGTCCTCGATATCATCTGCTTTTACTGCTTTCGCCTCTGCCCGGCTCTGGTTTGTCTCTGACGCTCCTTCCGCCAGGCAGCGGCTGGGGGCTCTTACAGGTACCTGTCGTACTGACATTCAGAGCCGCTGTCTGCTATCTGCCCTTGGCGTCTGTGGCCAGCAACAGGGACGATGACAATCTGACAGCTCACTGCGAAGTCACACTACACTTCCTCTCTGACGCCTGACTCTTGTCCCTGAACCCAGAGGTGTTTGGGAAAGCTAGAGCGGACCGCCCGCAGACAGCGCCCAGCCCTCCACGTGGGCTCTGCCTTCTGCTCCTGTGGTTTCTGACCGCACTTCTCTAACCAGCTCTGAAGGAAGGCTTCCAGAGACGTTGGAAACGCTTGTCCCCAAGAACCCGCTTTAGGGGAAAGCTGAGATCACAAGTAGTGTCTCACATGGAACGGAGGAGGGAGAACAGTAATGAAGTGTGAGGTCAGCGGTGGAGAGGAGCCACCTGACTCCAAGTCGCTGGCCGGCTGACCTGCGGGAAGGAGGGCTGTGTATTTAGCAAAATACTAAGGCCTAGGATCGGGCTGATGTTGGCTATGGTGGCAGGGAGGGGCCGCGTGGCCGGCTGAGGGGAGGACTCTGCCCTCCTCCCAGAGTGGGATGTCTGCGGAGTCGCCTGCTGCCTTCCTGAGGTGAGGCTGGGGTCCCCTCGGCCGTGGCACCGAAGTACAGCATGGAGCTCTCCTGCCCTTCCCCTCCTCTCCGCCCACCCGCACCTCTGCTCCTTCCTTCGGGCTGTGCTCCCTCCATGAGGCTGACTGCTTCTGGGCAGGAGCTGGGTCATGGCTGTCACTGGCAAAAGGGACCACACTGGGGGTTTCCAACAGGTCCGCTTCTGAGTTCAGGACACCTTGAAACTCAGAGCCTTTCTCTGAGGACAGGGGGTCCTGAGGTGACAGTGGGGGCTCTTGCTGGGGAAACAGGGGTGTCCTCTGCTGGGTGTAGTGCTGGTTCAGCCCCCACGAAGGGGGACGAAAGCAGCCAGGACTGTCTTCTCCAAAGGCTGCACTGATCTTAGACCCATTTCCTGTTTCTAGGGCAAGTTTCAGCAACAGCCAGTGATGATGACTGAGGAAACAATCCTCCAGAGCAGTCTGGCTTTCCAGCCCAGCCTCTGGGGGTCCCCAAGGTGGGCCGGGGGCCTTCCCCAGACCGGCGAACTCGTGACTTTTCTCCTGGCGTGTGCCCGGGCTCCCTGGCCTCTCCCCAGCTGGAGCCGGGGCCCGGGAGAAGTTTCTGTCTCTGCTTTATCAGCCCCTGGATGCCACACGACTCCTGCACGGACACAGCCCTGCCAGATGCCTGTGGGTCCAGGGTGTAGTGGTCTGTGATGAGTTAGCGAGACACTGCCTGAGAAAGAGGCAGAGAAAGAAGAGCACAAGGTTATGTTCCTTAAAGTCCCGCATCTTCCCCGTGGTCTGAGAACTCCAGACTCTGGAATTCCGAGCAGGGGAATATAATTGGGATCCCAAACAGGACTGTTGGAGTATCAGAGCTGGATATTCTGGGGGAAGTTAAGGAGGCTTCAGCTTCCACAAGCTGCAAATGTTTCTAAACGGAAAAACGTAATAACAAAGTTTAATCCTATCGATACTATGACTTTTTTCTCTAGGGCAGCTCTAACTGAGCACTCTAGGTGTGTGTGTGCATGTGTTTGTGTGTGTGTGTGTGTGTGTGATGTCCAGTAGAAAGGCTCATTTTACTTTCAAATAACTGGATCAAATGCTCAGAATGCAACCATCCACACACCAGAGGATGGACTCCAAAACTAGGGGAGGGGGAGGCAAGGAATAACCTCAAACACAAGACCCAAGTAAAGGTTAAACATATCCATCAAAAACCCCATCTCAAGGAATTTCCATGCGAAGCAACAACACTTCCTTTGAGCATAAACATCTTAATCACGTTGTTGTCAGTTTAATTTATTTTGATCAGAAGTGTTGACTACGGCAATAATTTCTTTAACAGAGCATTCCAGTAACCTCCCACGTTATTTCCAGTTTCCTGTTGCACTAGATCAAGTGCCTGGTTTCAAGGCGCTCATTATAAACAGCAAGAAACCTGGAGTAGAAGCGGGGGGGAAGCGCCCGAGGGGCTGGCAGACTGCGGTGTGGGGGAGCTGGGGGAGCCGACAAATGACCCCTTGGATCCTCTCCGACTACTTTCGGGGGATGAGGCATGGGGGGTCACAGTGGGCCTCCAGCAGGGGAGTGGAGACAGCATTCCTGTGGGATGGGTGGTGGCTCTGTGGTGGGTACCCCTCAAGCCACTTCTACACATTATTCGGAATTCTCACAATGATGTCACCCATCTTTGATAATGAGCCACCCAAGGTCAAAAAGGGGAACTAGCCCCCCTCCTCAGGCAAGTCCAAAGTACATGCATTTAATGAGTGACCTTTCCATGGGGCCACATCATTCATAAGGTTCTGGGTTGCAAACCCAATCTGGCATGCAGTAGGTACTCAATAAATGTTGGTCAGGGGAGCTCAAGATGTCAGCCAGAGCCATCTGCTTCAGAACTTGTACGCCTTTGCCGACAGCTCACCCACCATCTTCCTGCTGAGGACTCCCTCCAGGGCCACTTGGGAATCAGGGGTTTGGGCAGCTCCAGAAAGAGGGGGAGAAGGATCAGCAGCTGGGTCTGTCTGAGCCCCTCAGGCTGGGAGCTCACCATGCCCTGGGTCACTGAGAATGAAAACATCTTTCCTCCCCCGTCCCTCCCACTTTTGTTTTTATTTCCCAAGCGTAGGGAGGAACGCCCTCTCAAGCTTACATTCATCTGTTAAGCCAAGTTAACACAGTGGGCATGGTGCACTCGGAGTCATTCATTCATAAAGTCAAGCTAATGAACTAAAACTGCCAGGCACTGTCCCAGATGCCAGATTGGAGCGGGGTGTGAATCCCAGCTCCACCACCTACAGAATGTCTGATCTTATGGGACATTACCTGACTTGCTCTGTGCCACCTTCCTCAGCTCTGAATTGGGGGTAATTCAGCATCCACGTCCCGGGGTTCTTGTTGGTAAATAGCACGTGGTGTCTTGTCTGGGGGTCCTTGCTCTGCTCCCCCCGTGCTAGGATGCTGAGTGGGGAGGGACAGGGAAGACTCATGTTTAACCCCAGCCAGAACCCCAGGGAGGAGGCCCCGCCCACGAGTCCTTACAGATAGAAGTGGACAGTTTGGGTCCAGATTTGCTTGGGTTCTACTTCTGATGCCCTGGTGGGGACCATCGGCAGTCCAGTGGTTTCCAGTTTGTCTGTTTGCTTTTAAGATTTTATTTATTTATTTGAGAGAGAGAGAGCAGGGGGGGAGAGGGAGAGAGAATCTGAAGCAGACTCCATGCTGAGTGCAGAGCCTGATGTGGGGCTCGATCCCACAACCGCAAGATCATGACCCAAGCCGAAACCCAAGAGTCCGACACTAACCCGTGGAGCCACCCAGGTGCCCCTGGTTTCTAGTTTTTATATATAAAAATATATTTCTTAGGATAAGTAAACAAATTGGACATAATTAGAAGATGGTATATTTAAATACTGTGTATGAGGTAATACTAATAGGCCAAAAGTCTTAGAAAGCTTTGCCGTGGTCATTCATGGGCACCATTTTAACTCCAGAAAAGTAAAATAAGGAGGGAATTGAAAGCGTTATGAAGAGCTACTCAACAATCCTGAGAACGCCCACTCTCCCCAGGCCTTCCGGCTCTGGGCGGCACTGTTTGAAAGGTCCAGCAGGTATTATTTCAGGACTCAATGCCACAAAACTTGGAATTTCTCTCTCTCCTTAAATTAACTGCATCTCATCAGCTATCTGGTCCTGCTGAGTCAAATTCTTAAGTTTGTCTCAAATCCATTGCGTTTTTCCTGTCCTCACAGCCGTTTTCACGGCAGTTCTGATCCTATTGCTTCCTGTCTGAGTCCTATGGTTTCCTGTCTTCATTCCCTGTTCACGGTCTCTCCTCCACACCACTGCCAGGTGATCTGTTTCACCTGCAGATCAGACCTTGTCATCCCTCCCTAACACACCTGGAAGTAGCCCTATCTCACCTGAGGGGCATCAAGACCCCACTCCTTGACAATGCGGGCAATCCTGTTTACAATGCATCCCCAGTCTTCCTTTGCAGAGTCATCTTCCAACCCGCACTCCCACAGGGACTGTGCTGGCTACCGGGATGGGCCAACCTGCCTGAGCTAAGGGATGCCCGGGGGCTGGTAAAACGTTATTTTGGAGTGTGTCTGTGAGCGTTTCCAGAAGAGGTTAGCACTTGAATCAGTAGACTGAGTAAAGGACCTGACCCTTACCCCCTCACCAGGGCAGGCAGGCCTCGTCCAATCTGTGGAGGGTCTGAATAAAACAAAAAAGTGGAGAAAGGGCAATTCTCTCTTTTCTTGAGCTGAGACATCCATCTTATCCTTTCCTTGGACATCCGAGCTCCTAGTTCTCAGTCTTTTGGACTCGGACTGAATTACACCACATTTTCCTGGGTCTCCCACTTGCAGAAGGCATACCGTGGCCTACCTCAGCCTCCAAAATTGTGTGTGCCAATTCCCATAAATCTCCTCTCATGCATGTCTATACAGCCTATCAGTTCTGTTTCCCTGGAGAACCTTGACTGACACACCACCACCAACAACAAAGACTCTCTCCTTGACCAAACCTGACTCAGATCGGCATCTCGAAGCCCTCTTCTTGCCTCGGCCTGAAGCCTGGCCTATACAAATTGCAGACATGTGGTACAAATGCCTTTGTCAACCACCCCTCCCCCGACACACATTAAGAGACTTGAACAAACACTCCCATAGCTCCTAACAACTCAAGGCTGCCTCCCTAGGGTGATGAACTGGCCCCAGTTCAGTTTCTGCCTAAGAAAGCTAACACCGCCAGGAAGATTCACTCTCTGTTCCAGCCAAAATCTGCTGAAAGGCAGAGAGGCCGTGAACCCCCTCTTAGATGAGTTACTTTGGAAAGCTTGCACGTACAAATCCCCGTCTCTGCGTCTCTGAGGTGTAACTCCTCTGCCACCCAGAACTGCCTCCTCAAGGACCAGCGAGCTGTCTCTCTGACGCACCAACGCTCAAGAACACCCTCCCGGCCCAGGGGTGGGAGGACAGCCTGCTCTAACTTGCATGAACACTGCCGCCTGTCATGTGAGAAGTGAGCTCCTCCTCCCGATAAACGCAGATGGCAGTCACCTTAACCACCCCCTTTCCCGCTGTTGATAAATTTCCATCTCCCTGACCCTGCTCAAACGTCCGATGTCCCCCCCAGTCCATGCCCCCATCCTCCCTTAAAAATGCCCAGCCACCGCCCCACAAACTGAGATTGAGGTCCGTTCTTCGTTGTTGCGACGGACTTAATAAACTTTGTTTCATCACCTTTAACCAGTAGTCTGGCTCTGCTCGTCTGATGCCACCCACGCTCCTTTCCCGCGGGCTCCCTGACACTCTGTCTTGTTTCTGCAGCTTTGCCTGAAATGGCCCCCTCCCCCCCACATCCTTTTCTTCCAGCCGGGCTCATCCCCCGAGACCAGCTCGAATGCCCCCTTTTGTAAAGCCTTCTCGGACGCTCTCCGTCGGCCTCTTGTATTCCTGCGGGGTGGTCTCCGTCACAGAGCTTGCGTTCATGGGTCTGTGTCTTTGGGGCCCCTGAGGCTCCACCTGCCCACATGCTGGCCTCTGAGTCCACTTCCAGCACATGGAGGAAGCTGTATGTGCACGCTTAAGTGAGTGAGCTGGTAACAAGTGGAAGACATCAAACCTGGCTTTGCAGGGCATTCACAAATCATCCAGAGGCCAGCTGCCTCCTCTGGAAGGGAAGGGAAGGCGAGGCGTTCTCAGTTAGGCTGGCCATCAGCACCACCTGACCCTGCTTCCAAAACACCGATTCCAGGGTCTCCCTCAGACCTGTTGGGCCTGAATCCCTGGCAAGGCCCCTGAGTGCCTCCGACAGCCAGCCAGGCTGAGAAGTGGGGGCACAGAGGCCCCGAGGCCCTCCCAGCTCAAACGCTCTCAGCTCCACCGCCCAGCCGCGTGGCTTGCTGGTTATAGCTGGGCTCATAGCATCAGACCAGCTGGATCTGAACACCGCCTCTGTCTGCCCAGATGCCTGACTTTCCATGCCTCAGTTTCTGTACCTGTAAAATGGGTTTCGTCTCATTGAGTGCTGTGAGAAGTAAGACAGTTAATGAGCTTAGAACAGTGTCTGGTGCATGATGATCCTGCCCAAAATGTTAGCAATTACTAATGATTCTGTTGTTACTCCCAGGACCTGAAGACGAGAACAAGAGGTCATAGGAGAGTAGGAAAAAGTTCTAGCACAGAACCTACAAAACTACAAATGCTTCATACTTCTGTTGAGTGAATCAATGAAAGAGGAAGTCCAGAAGTTCCTGCTTTGACCTTGGGGGCACGGTTTCCATTATTTAAGCAAAGCCATTAACCATTAAAAAACAGAGCTACTCCAAGCCCCCAGGCCCATCCTCCTTAGAAAGTGATTTCTAAGTACTCTGTGGTCTTTTGGCTTTTGGAAAAACAACAACTTTCTCTTTGCCAACAAAACACAATTTACCCCAAAGGAGTCACTTTCTCTCTGGGTCAGGGCTCATGTGTCTTCCAGGGAAGGTGCCCGCTGGGGAGGGGCGAGGTCCATGAAAGGACAGCGTGACAGGCCTGCCATTTACGGGGTGTTGGCAGGAGGCTTGGACCAGACACCCAGGGATCAGGGCCCGGCCTGGGCAACATCGCCGGCCGGCTGGTGACCCTGGACGTGGCAGGTCACCTCCGGGAGTGGAGTCCCCGGCTCCGATGAGCACGCTCAGCACCCCATTAGGCCGAGCGGAGCCTGAAGGAGTCTGTAAGTCACCCGGGCGAGGGCCGTATGACATGCCTGCACTCCGGTGTGGTCCACTTTCTCTCCTTCCCACTTACCTGCTCTGACCTCTGGGTTCTCGTGACCGAGTGAGCGGCTGGGAAGGACAAAGTTTTGTTTCCCTTCCTCCCGTAACAGCCTCTCAGACTCCTGGGGATAGGACAGTGACAGACGGCAAATGGAAACCCTCTCCGCGTGTCCCTCCAGCTCGTCAGGCACGCTGGCAGGGGGACACCCTGCTCTGCAAACACTAACTCCCTTTTATTTGCGTGCGCGGAGTGGGCTGGAAGCTGCTGCACCCCCAAGCAGGGCCGGACCCTGCGTGTTCCTCGTCCTCCCGCACAGCGAGATGGGCACGCTTACTCCTCGTTCTCAGACGTGGAAATCGAGGCTTGCAGAGGCTCCATAACGTGTCCAACACCACGCATCCTCACGGTCTGTGGGCCCCATGGCCTGTGGTTGATCAGCCATTTGGGGCTCTCCTAAAAGCAGGAGGTGACCACACCACCCGCCTCTCCTGGACAGGAGCTGCCCCTCCTGCCCCTTCCATTTGCTCATGGCTCCGTCCTGCAGGGTCTGCTCCCCTGAAAGTCTCTTCCCCCATTCATCATCAATAATGGCCATGAGGCGCTGGTTCTTGTGCCCCAAGTTACTTATTTACTCTTCACAGGGGACCCCGGGAAGAAGGTGGATCTTATATAATCGTCACAGCAACACCAAGAGGCCTTGTTCTCAATGTGTGATGAAAAAACAGGTGTGGAGCGTTCCAGTCCCCGGCCGAGTGGGCTGGTAACAGTGAAGGGCGAGCCACAATCCCAAAGCAAGCTGCCTGATCCCAAAATCTGTGCTCTGCAGTGCCGGCTACCTTTTCTCTCCCCCGCTCTTGGCAACGCAGCTTGGCTTCCACCTTCTGGTCCAAAGCATCTCTGGTCAGCCCTGCAGGAAGTGATCCTCACCGTCCTTGTGAGTTCAGGCAATCTTATCTCCTAGGATTTACCCACATTCTGCCTTGTTGTTTGGTTATCTGGGTATGGAGTTTATCCCCCTGACGGACTAGAAGAAGCCTGAAGACAGGCCTCCTGTCACCTTCGTGCCTTCTGCACAGTCTAGGGCCATGCCTGGAACCCAGTAATGATGGAGTTGATGAACAAGGACACCGTGTATGTGACTTAACATAGCTGAGCTGTGATGCTAGCTATCAGACGTAAAGAGTGTCTACAAAACACAGTTCTCGCTACGGTGACCACCGTGCAAACAACTGGACGTCCCGGTACCATTTTCAGAGCTTGTCATCATCTCTGTTCAAGATCCAAGCTCCTTTTAGAAGCTTTCCTAAGACTAAGCTGTTCCTTCTTACATAGCTGTGTGTGCACGGGTACACACACGCACCCATGCACTCTGTACATAGAAAATGAGCACATTTAGGATTAAAGAAAGCCATCATCCCCACTTGCCATGTAACACATGGCCATCCGATGTCAGGAAGGGCTGTCCCAGAAGTTGAGGTAGCAGAGGATGTACCCGGCCCCCACGAGCAGGTCGAACAGCTTCCAGTGGCAGATGCTGTCCACGATGTCACTCCTCTGTGCCACCAGCCAGAAGGTCATCACCAGCCCGTGGGCACCTGGAGGGAGGCAGGCCGAGGACGTCAGCGTCCAGGAGGGGAGGGGGCGGGGCAGGGACAGGGAAACCGGGGCCTCGGAGCTGTCCTCTCTGCACTGACCACACCTTACTCAGCATCCAGTGATTCGACAGGAAACCCACACCTTTTATCTTTGCCCCTATTGTCTCACTGGATCCTCACAGTGGGTAGTAAACTGATGTGGGGATGAAAAAACAAAGACTAGCTTCAGTAACATCTTGCAAACCTCACTTCCTGATGCCCTTCGAGTTCAGGAGGTGTTGAAGGAGGCAGTTAGGAACCCCCCGTCTCCCTATGTTTTTAGTCACTGCTTCAAGAGCCGCAAGCCTCCACGTCCAAAGAGAAGAGCTATATGTGATCCAGCTGTAATTTCTAGTCCCACATTTTAAGATGGATAATACCTAACTGAAGTTGGAGCAGAATTTTTTTAAATGAATAAAACAGTTAATCTTTCTTTAGGAGCACAATTTCTTTAAAAAAATTTCTCCTTTCTGCTAACACGTGTATTAAGGCTCAAGTCTAAATATTTCTCAATGCCTCCTATTCCCTAAAACATGAGTACACTGTTCCTTGTTGCCGAGTGTATTTGCTGATGTCCAGAAGAGATACCTCTCCTTGGCAGGGACACCCAGACCCCTGCAGGACTCCTGCAGGGTCACGCAGACCCCGTGGCCACCACTCTCATCCGCGTGCGTCTAGACTGAGGGCTGGGGGTGGGGCTTGGCTCAGTGCAGGTGCCCTATTGGAGACAGAGAAGAGGTCCAAAAGCCAGCATTCAGAAGAAATGGAGGGCTCTCAGAAGCTGTGCGCGACATCAAAGTATGTACTGTATATTTTGTATCGGGTCGGGACAGGCAGGACCCTATGCCTGTTTGTCTACAGAAGAGATTTCAGCCCGTGATACAGAACACGGTCTGTGTCGTGTATCGTGAGCACAATTGCAGCTGTGCTCTGGACTTGGCCGGGCGTCGGGGCTGGGCTCCCTAAGCTAAGGGAGTGTGTCTGCAAAGACAGGCACCCTAGGCTCCTCCCCTCCATGGACGCTCACGGGGGATGGAGTCCATTCCTCTGGGCTCTGACTCTGGACTGGCCATGGAGAATACAGCAGAAGCCACGCTGACCCAGGGCCAGGCCAGTTTTAAGAGGACTGACAGCTTCTGTTTGCTTTCTCTCAGAATTCCCAGCTGCCGTGTCCACAGCCCCAGCTGCTCTGTTGAGGAGAAAGTGGGCGCCCCGGGGTGCCAGGCATGTGAGCAAAGACGCCGTCTGTACGGCCAGCCCAGTGAAGGCTCCTTATGGACCCAGACACCCGCCGTCCTACTGCACCCACCTGAGATCCCCCACCCCCTGGCAAGAACCCCCCAGGTGCCCAGCGAGCCCCCCGGAACCGAGGTGGTTTTAAGGCATCAAGGTCTGGGGTGCTTTGTTACACAGCCCCTGCCAGCCTGCTTACCTCCAGAAACCAAAACCCAGATGTGGTAAGCTCTGAAGAAGAGAGCCAGGCTCGGGACACGGACCCCCAACATGCCCATCCTCCAGGGCTGCTGGTAGAAGAGGGTGGCCCATGGTGTGAGGAGCTGACCAGCTTCATGAAGCCCACGCATTGGGCATGGCACACCAGGGCCCAGGCCAGCGCGGACCAGGAGCACAGCGTGCTCACACCTGGAGGGGAAGCGGACAACAGCGGTGTTTGTGGGGCACCTAACCTCTCCATAAAACCTGGCTTCCCCACGGGCATCCCTAACCAAGCACCTGAATGGGTGGATAACACAACCCCGTGTATAGACACGCATGCCTACGCATAGGAAGCAACAAGGACGCGTGGGAGATATTTTCTCTGCATGATGCAGTGGGCGCTCCTCCCCAGCAAGGGAGCGGGGCTCTTCCCTTGTCCGCCCTTTAGGAAAAGTGGCCGAGTCCCTGATCCTCTAAGCCCTCCCGTCGAAGCTCTGTCAATGATGAAGCAGTTAGATGGCCCTGACCATGGTATTCCCTCCCAAATGCACTTTGCTGTTCAAGCCCTAGGAAGCAGGTTTAGGCACAGCAATAAAACAATAACACAAATTGTGCCGGGCCCCACCATAGGGACGACCAGAAGGACAGCGCTGTCATGACTTGCATGCATTTCATGTAAGCACACATAAATGTGGATGCTCGGAACAAGAGAGGAGGAGGAGGAGGATGCTGGGAAAGAATCAAGATGTGACCAAGAGAAAACAAGACACAGAGAGCCTTCACTGGAGAAAATGCAGGTGGGACACACATTCACTGGATCAGAGTTGCTCTCAGTCTCCACAAGGCTCTCAGGCTCAGGCCTCTGTCTGCGTCCAGTCAGGCCAGTGACTGAGGACGCAGGAGAAACAGGCACACAGATCCTACGAAGGGGCCGTGTGGGGTCCCTTCCCAAGGTGTTCCCAGGGTAATGTGACCATCTACAATTTCTACTGCATGGACTGACCCCCACCAAAGCAGCCAGCCCCAAACAAAAGCCGATTCGAACCATCGTCTTGTGCTGGTGAGTGCGGGCTGCCCTCTTTCTCCCCAACAGGGGAAATCATCGATTGCCAGGATTTACTTACATCAGGCATTCCTTTGTGTTCCCCTTGTGAAGTCAGGCGGTCCGTGCTCGGGGGTGGGCTTTTCTCACCTGGCACAGTATCTGTGAAGTCCAAGGCGAGGAAAACATGCGTCTGGAGCAGCAGGTGGGGCCCCGGCTGCATCAGAGCTTCCAGGAAGGCGGAGGGCAGACAGGTCAGCCTCCTGCAGCAGCACCTGGTCTCGGCAGGAGGCTTCCCACTCTTTCGATAGAGCAGTGGACGCAGCATTCCAATGCCTGAGGAAGAGCAAGGCCCGGGGCGCAGAGCGAGACTGTGACAGTTTCAACAGGATGCCCCACACCCCTCTTCCTGGCCGATCAGTGACAGACACCCAGCATTCTAGAACAAGCTGCCCTGTCCAGGCATCAGAGCCCCTGAGCTGGTGATCCTGCTCCGCAAGGCCGGCCAGAGGCCCACTCTGCCCACATGTGGGCGGGATCGGGGTGGCGGGATGGGAGCCTGGACCAGACAGGCTTGCTGGGGGCTGCTCTGGGCCCTGCAAGGTCTGGCGCTAACCCTGACCTGTGTCTTCCACCCCAGGACTTCTTGGGATGGGAATTAATTGGCTCAACAAATGTGTGCTGCAAGGCATCATGCTGTCCTTGCTTTAGAGCATAAGGAAATGAGAAAACTCTTGTCCTCATTGTCACAGAACGTGGAACTTTGTGTGTCTCTGCAACTGGGGCAGGCACAGGGCAGAACAAGGAAAGAAACGGGGGCTTCCCTGGGGACAAGACGGGGGCTGGAGCGTGACGGGAAGGTGTCACAGTCTGGCTGGGCGACCTTCCTACAGTCGAGACAAAGGAAGCAACACGAAAGAAAAGAAGTTTGGAAACGTTCCTGTGTCATCGTGTTTCCCATCAACCCATCCTAGAAACTTCTGCCTATGCTCCCGGCTTACGAAAGCTGTCTGGAAGGTGACACGGGGCCCCATCCTTTACCACCTGAAGAGTCGTGTAGCAAACGGGAAAACGAAACCACTCCCCAGGCACACACGCTGGGGCACCGTGGACTTGGGGTTTTCACACAGCAGTTCTCCCTCGTGCACCCAGGTCCCCCCTCGGCGTCCTCACGAGCAGGAACAGGGGTGATTACTACACCTGCTCACAGCAGGGACAGCTGTGTCCACCCAGGCCGTCTGGGACTGTGAACGTCTGTCTTGTCCAAGTTAAGAAAAATGGGGGAGGGTATCTTAATTTATCTCATCCTGAATCCGAGCAAGATGCATCTTTAAAGTCACCTGAAAAGCTCCCTCCGTAAGGGCCTCCCTAGGACTCTGGCTATGCGGATTACGAGCCTCGCTCTGATCTCTGGCCAACACGTCTGTGGCCAGAGCGGACAGGGGTCCTCTTTGAAACGGGTTTATTCATGGTTCCAAGGGCCCAGGAAAGATGCTTAAGGAAGCGTGTTCCTTTTTCATGATTTGGAATCCTGGAGTGAACTGATTTCTTACTGAGTCTTTGAAGCTGTGAGATCTGACACAAGCATAATGTTAAGAAAAAAACCCAACAACAACAACAGAGAAGGTCAGGACTGCAAACATCAGGGAGGGTAGCTTTCCTTCCAGTCCCGAATCATCTGTTCTCCCTCTTCCTACCCTCCCTGAAGCCTTCACTAGGTCAATGTGCATTTTCGTTGGGTTTTTGCCACCTGCTGGAGACAGAAGGCATGAAGGAAAGGAAGCAAAGGAAAGACTTTCTCCAGAAGCCCGGGGCTCAGCTGGGGAGAGAAACCATATGCTCATGAAAAGTTTAAGCAGGAAGAAAATCGTGTCAAATCAAGCTGTGGATCATGGTGGAACGAGTCTGGGGCCCGAGGACAGTGTGGTCAGGGAGGGCTCCCAGCAAAGAAGGGGCGCACGCACCTTGGACAGGCAGACGGGAGCAGGGCTGAAGAGAGCACATGTGGGGCCGATGGGGCAGGAAGCGGCCACTGAAATGGTGGGTCCATGCTGGGGACAGTGAGGTAGGGGCCGGACAGCAGGAGCCTCTTCTGGTCTAGCTGGGGGTTTAGGTCTCGTTTCTAAGAAATAAAGAGCCAGGGGGAATGTAGTCCACCTGGTTTTGTGAATGGGGTGTCTGGGTCCCGTGACAGAGGGAGGAACTCAGGTGATGACATCACTGGAAACTGTTGGGGACACTGGGGTCACAGCTGAGGCAAGGTGGGGGTGGCAGCAGGAAGGGAGAGGACTGGTCACTATCTCCGTCAAATTCTGTCCCAGGGGTTGATGCCTCATTCTGGGTCCCCATCGGCTCCCGCCCAGATTTCTGGCTGCTTGCCTGGGCCCCGGTGTCTCCCCACTGTGCCCCATGGTCTCTACCGTCCCCACCACCCCCACCCAGGGCCTCAGTGGACTGTGTTATTCCTTGGTTTAAACCTTTCCATTGGGTCTCCAATGCCTGGAGGGTAAAACTCAAACTCCTCGCCCAGTTGCAAGTCCCTGTGTGACCCAGTCTAATCTGTCTCCAGCCACACTCCTCCCATCTAGAAAATTCTCACCCTGCGCTCACACTGCTCACCAAGCACACCGCCTCTGGGAGGTTTTCTGCCTCTGCAGCGGGGGCAGCTGTTTTCCGGCTGGGCCACGCCCCCGTGCCCAGGCTGGTGGGCCCCCCCCCCACCGCCTCAGGCCTGATGCTTGGGCTCCAGCACCAGGATGGGGTTCCCAAACGTGAACTTTAATCACCTGGAGCCCTGTTTAAGTATATTTGCGGGACCCCAGGCCCAGAATTTCTGGTTAAATAGATGCATTTGGAGAATCAGAGAAAGTCTGCTGTGATGTGATGTGGGTCCCGGTGCATCTTGAGGTCTTGCATTTTTAAGGAGTCCCCGATGGTGATCCGTGGCTGGTCCCCCAGCACGGCAAACACCTTCTCTCTGTTCTTCTGAGTTCCCTGCTTACAGCTGCGTCCCCGGTTAGGCCTCAGAGCCCACATCTCCATCACGTGCGTCCAGGCCCTTCTGCCACACACATCTCCAAGCGTGAACAAACGCGCACCCAGCGCAGCGCAGCGCAGATGAGGGTATAACATTTCTAGTTGCATTAGGAACAAATGCTCCAAGCGGACCCTCGGAAACACAGTAATTAACGTAACTTCGGAATGAAGTTTCTCAGCAAGCTCTGGTTTGTCCTAACAGCTTAAGTAAGAAGCCATACGTACCCACTTCATCTAGAACAGTCTATCACAGGCCCACAGCTTGAAGAAGATGCGTACTGCCCTCCATCTTCACGCTTTTTGGTGATGTTGAACCTGAGATAGTGAACAGCTCAAGGTTTTGGGCTATGGCTGATTCTTTTTTTAATCTTTTTTTTTTTATTGTGATAAAATACAGATAACCTAAAATTTGCCATCTTAACCATTTTAAGTGTACAGTTCAGTGGTATTGATAATTTATTAAATTAACATAATTTAAACCAATGCTACAACAGATTATTAATAATTTGTAGTAATTCATAATGGTGTGCAACCATCCCCACAATTCTTTTTATCTTGTAAAACTGACATTCTGCACCCATTAAACATTAACTCCTGAACCCCCCGCATCACTGTTCTACTTTCTGTTGACTAAGAACCTCGTGTAACTGGATTATACAATATTTGCCCTTGTGGGACTGGCTGATTTTACTTAGCCTAAAGTCCTCAAGATTCATCCATGTTGTAGAATTTCCTTCTTTTTAAAGACTAATTAATACTCCATTGTGTGCATAGGCCACATTTTTCTCATCCATTCATCTGTTGATTTGCTTTGCTTGCTTTGCTTCACATTTTTAGCTATTGTGAATGCTGCTGCCGTGGACACGGATGTATAAGTATCTTTTCCCAACCTTGTTTTCAATTCCTTTAGGTACATACCCAGAAGTGGAATTGCTGGATCACATGGTAATTCTGTTTAACTTTTTGAGGAACCTCCATACTGTTTTCCAGAGTGGCTGCACCAGCTTGCGTTCCCACCAACAGTGTAGGAGGGTTCCCCTTTCTCCACATCCTTGCCAACATCTGTTGTTTCTTGTGCTGTTGATTTTAGCCATTCTGACTGGTGTGAAGTGGTATCTCATTGTGGTTTTGATTTGTATTTCCCTGATGAGGAGTGATGCTGAGCATTTTTTCATGTGTCCATTGGCCATTTGTATGTCTTCTTTGGAAAAATGTCTGTTCATGTCTTCTGCCCATTTCTTGATTGGATTCTTTGTTCTTTGGGTGTTGAGTTTGATAAGTTCTCTGTAGATTTTGGATACTAGCCCTTCATCTGATGTGTCATTTGCAAATATCTTCTCCCATTCTGTCGGTTGTCTTTTGTTTTTGTCAACTGTTTCCTTTGCTGTGCTTTGGGGATGGGGTAACCGGGTGATGGGCATTAAGGAGAGCACTTGATGTGATGAGCAAAGGGTGTTATATGCAACTGAAGAATCACTAAACTCTACCTCTGAAACTAATAATATGAATTAAAAAAAAACTTAGAGCCAAATGTGTGGCTCACCGTGAACAACTGTATGTTTTCACTTTATCCTGTTTTCTGACCTATTGTTCCCCTTCCTGACTTTTCTCATATCTTTTTTTTCCTTTTAAATTATGTTTTTTTTTAGTTCCCCTTATTTTTTAAAATAGAAAGAGACATAGCTGACTAGCTGTTCTTCTTGAGGCCTAATTTTCATGACTCTCTTCCCTATCCATCTTAGTGTTAATACATACCAGAAACTCATACCACCGCTTACGAAACTTTGAGGGAGCATGGAGAAGCAAAGAATGTGGAGCCACAGGTGGACACCAGCAGCATGAATACAGATGCATTGTGGGCCTGACACAGCCCCGTCCCTGCAGAAGGCACTGGACTGGATGGGCCTGAGGGTCCTCACAGAGCCCCAGAAGGCAGACTTATCGGGCAGTTATTCTGGAAGCTTCTCTCAAGTGACTGGCATTCACTGAACTCTCCTTCTGAGTTATCACATGTTTGGTTATCTGTCCTCAAGGTCACATACAGGGCACCCCAGCCCTTAATGGGTTTCCTCCTAGGCTGGGCTGAGGGAAGGGGCTGAACATCTCTACTATGGTAGATGGTGCCCAGGAGGGCCTTGAATCCTGAAGGCATAAACCACCAAGAACAGCCAGCAGCAAGCTCAAACTTGCACTGACTTCCTGAACACCCTTCCAATCCTCGGCCTTTAGGACTTAACACACATGTGAGCTGCATGGCTTCACTGATATAATCACCAAACTTTTCTTCCCTTTTTTTTTTATTCCTGGGACCTAGGGGATTATGAGGTGGCTAAGAGCTGAAATTTGCCATTTACATAAGCTCACAGACAGGTCTCTCCTGACACTCCAGGTATCCAAGTACTCCCAGTGAAACCAGTATCTTACCTGCAGAGGGCAACCACAGGTAAGGCTCCTGGGCACCAGGCCCATCGAGGCTGCTTTGTGTATGGAAAAAAAAAAAAAAAACCTGGGCCTGGCTCTCAAATGGCTTTGTCCTGAAATAAAGCCTTGAGCCCAATGTCACCAGGCCAGCTCCACGGCCTAGTCTGTGGCTAAATCTATGCCACCTTCTTCAACTAAGGTAGCAGGGGTTTAAATGCAACTGCCTTAAGTGAGGCCCTTTCTACGGCTCCAAAGCCTTGACCAACAAATTAAACAAGAGCAAGACGGAATTTGGCCAAAGACACACACACACACACAGCTTTTGAAGGGTCACAGCTGCCTCTGGAAGGAGCTTCCTGATGTTAGAGACGCTCAAGGAAGTGCAGGCTGGAAGAGGGGATGCCTATCAGAGCAGGGGTTCAAAGTGGTGGCTTTGAGCATCCTTCCAACCTTGAACTTTTATGACCCTAGGATAGAATGCATAGGCTCCTACTGCACTTAAGAAATCCCTCTCCACGGGTGAAAGGAGGCTGCTTGTTCCTACCGCTTCCACAGGCCAAGCTGAAGGAGCGGGAATTAGTACGGCCAGCAAACAATGACCTTGGTGTCCATCTGCCCAGAACCACAGATCGCTCAGGCCCTGGACCAGGAAGCCAGGTAGTAGCACAGAAAGGGCCAGCCACCCCCAGAGGAGCTGTCCTGGGGTGAAGTCGTAGACCGTGGAGTAGAGGCCTGCGGGATAAAAGAGGAAAGGCGAGAGGGTGAGTGCAAGGCTGGAGGGGAGAGTGAGGGCCCCTCCAACCCCGCATCCTCAGCACGGGCAGGGCTCCCTGCTGGACCCAGTCCTGGAGCAGGCACGGCCAGCTCGCATTCTAGACAGGCCTGTGGAGGGATGAAGGTGCCAGGCTCATGGTCACAGGGAGGGGCTGTTGGCTTGCATAGGACAGCATGCACAAAAACTACTTGGCACCTGGTATGTGCATTTAAAAAATGCTAATCCTCCTCTCTGGGGATTTATTTTTTAATTTTTGAGGATGCTAGGGTAAAGTAACATAGAGGAAAGGGACAAATCTAGGTGAGGGTCTGTACTCCCAATCAGTGACAGTGGGGGGGAGGGGGGCTTGTGTCTGTTCAGCACCAGTAGGTGCACAAATTCACTCTAGTCGTTTTATGTGATCATTCCTTGGGTTTTGCAATATTTAAGTTTAAAATGGATTTATGGGCACACAAAGCTGCGAATTGTAGTGGAAACGCAGCATTCCCCCCGGGGCCAGATAGGAACCCTGCAGGGCTGGACCGAGGGGCCAGGGAATGGACTGGCTCTGTTGGGAGTCCTAACCACCTGGGCTTTCTGCTCCCCACCCCCTCTACCCGCCAAGGTAAACCAGGGTTTCCGGCACAAAAAAGTCTTTGGAGGAGTCACCACCCTGCCTAGGCCCAGCAATGCTGAGGCCGCAGTTGGTTCTCCGGTGAGAGGAAAAGTGGGCACAACGTCTCCGGGAGCACCTGGGGTGAATACTGACACGGGGCTCCTGTGTTGCCGGAGGCCAGCCTGTCTGGGCGCTGGACCAGGGAGATTTGGAGCAGACCTCCCTCGCTCCCTCGGCCTCCTCCTGGGTGAAGCTCTGGCGCAGGGCGCCACTGAAATCGCGCTGCGGGGACGCCCCAGTGGGACCCACAGGGACAGTCTTGCAAACTGGAGATTCCACCAACCCCGAGGCAGCAAGTTGCCCATAGGGGTAAAGTTGACAGCCGCCGCCTGCCGGGGGTCCCCAAGTACGTGCGTGCTGGGAGGGGCGCGGGGCCCTGGAGGTCTTGAGGCTGGGACCTCATTAAACCCCCACCCCTCCCCAGGGACCCCGCTGAGACAGACCCATCAGCAGGGAGCCCGGCGCAAGTGGGCGGAGGCCTCCTCCTCCCCACAGAAAGAGTTACAAGTTCAAAGCAGAAAGGCGCTAACCAGTGTTGCCATCTTGCTGGGCCAGGACGAGCTCCCCCAGCAAGCCGTCTGGCCCAGTCCTGAAGCCCGCAGCGGATTCAAAGTCCTCCAGGGCCACGCGGCCGCCTCCCCCGCCGCCGAGACCCCCGGGCAGGCCGGGGCGTGGGGGTGGAGGTGGGGGTGGGGGTGCGCAGCTCGCACCGCGGCCATCGGCTGCGTCCAGGAGGCCTTTCCGGAGGGAAGGGCGGGAATACACGTGCCCAGGCTCCAGGAGAGGACCGTGCACCCGCGGGGACCCACCGAGGACGGGGAGGGCGGGCGGGGTGCCACCGTGCACGCACGGGCGCCCAGAGCCTAGCGCCGTCCGGGGCAGGCTGCCCTCCGCGGCAGAAGCGGCCCGTGCGTCCCGGGCGTCCGGATGGGTCGGGGGGCTGGAGGGGTGAGCGGGGCAGGCGCCCAGCCTGGGGCCGCCCGGCACTCACGCGCGCTCTGCTCGGCCGCCAGCAGCGGGGCGGACAGCCCCAGGGCCCCCGGGTGCATCCTCCGCGCCGCCGCCCCTTGCCCTGCCGCGGCCTGGTGGAGGGGAGGCTTCCGGCCCCAGAACCCACTTCGGGAGCCCTGGGGGCGCCGACTCCCTGCTGGTTTATCCCAGGCGGCTAGCCGGGGACAGAGGCAGGGCAGCCCTGAGTCTTCGGGTCCCTAGGTGGGTAAGTACAAATCAGATCAGGCCCCTCGATGTGGGCAGAAGTTTCCTCTGCCGTTCCCCAACCTTATAAGGGGCCCTGGAGAAGTACTGCGTGATGGTTGTGACGACAGGTGGGCTGGTCACGAGGTGGTTAAACTGGTCACTGCCTCTGGAGCCGCTGAAAGCCCAGTGAACCACTAGTCAGTGCACTGGGATGTTAACTGGTCTCACTCTCAAATCCATCCGGATCTCTGTCCTTGCAAAAGCCTTTTCCGGTTAATCCGTGCTTGAGGATTAACCAAGATTGCAGTGTGCGAGAGGTCAAGCTGCGCACTGGAAAGCTTTCAGGATACATCTACCTACCTCACTCTATAGACTATATACAGTATAACTTGGTGATGGTGATGGTGAATTTGGGGTCTTTAACTCCTAAAGCAGGCAATTAGCCAAACCATTCCTTCTTTTTATTTGGGAGGAGTTTCCAGCCACCATCCTTGAGTCAAGGGCATTTGCCACACTGGTTTAATTAGATGGACTACTGCCCTCTTCCCTACAAAAGCCCTGTAGTAGAAAAAGCCAGAGTTGAAGAACTTACCATCTTGGAGGGGAAAAATGGTTAGACCACTCAGTGAACCTGTAAAGCAAAGGAACCCACAAAACTCTTGTGATTATTTTCCTTTCACCAAAATAGAGCCACAAATTCAGGTATCTTCGGTTCTTCCCCTGTGATGTTTATAAAATGCTTTGTTTCATTGAAGATAATGCTTGTTTGTCCTAAGAGGCTCCCCACCCTACCGTGCCCATTTTCCATTCACGTTTCAGGGCATTTCTGGTTTTCTCATCAGAAACAAGTTCTGCTCTTCTCGGTCTCTTCCCCCTTCAGAGAGCAGCTGCAATACTGCGGATCAGAGCCTCCTGAACACCTCTCGACTCTCTGCCCTCTAAGCCGATACAAGGGTGCACTTGTAAGTTCTGGGTTTTCATTCCTTCAGCTTCATTTTTCCCAAAACCTCATTGACCAAAGTCCTGTTCCCTTTTCTCTACTACAGCCTCTCTTTTTATTAACTTTCAATCCCCAGATGCTCCCTTCTCTGATTTTCCTGAAAAAAGAGTGTGTCCCAATTTGTACACATTGGAAGCAGGACTATCATCCCTAGAAAAGGAATATAAAGTTGAAATTGGCTATAGAAATTAGGGTTGGGGGTAGAGGATGTTTATGGTTGGGGAGGGATCATTGTGGTATTCCATACTTTGCTCAACATTTCAAGTTTTAGGGGGAAAAATGTTTCCCCTAATTCCCAGGTATTACTTGAAGCATATACATAGATCCCATATTTTGTATGTTACAAAAAGAATTCAATGATTTAGAAGTTTGACAGAGGGTATTTCTCTTGGGACAGTAGCAGTTTGAATAAGAGCTATATAGTTAATGTCGGCTGCCTTGAGGCTTTGGGAGGGTTTTGAAAGGAAAAGTAGAAAACGTCTTGGAGAAAGGGGCTTATTGTCCCTGGAGACTAGCTTTAAGTCAGAAAATAGTGGTTCCCACCCCAAACCACAGCCATGGGATGACGGATGGTGAGTGGGTTGTGCAGAAATCTTAGAAGCTAGAGAATCGTGTATTGCTATTGTGTAAACACCCGCCCGCGTCCAAGCCTTTTGTGTTAGACTGGAGAAAAACACCACAATTGCTTTACCTCTCCCTGTGCCCATGTCTCTGCCATGTGACTTTGCTACTTCTCCCACGAGGAAGCGGAGCGTCTTCACTCACTTGAATTTGGCTGGGCTGGGATTTGCTTTGACCGAAAGAATGTGGGAGAAGTTAGGTTGTAGGGGTTCCAAGTCTAGGCCCCAGAGGTTCTGCAGCTCCTTCTCTTTTTTTTCTGTCTGTCCCTGTGTCTGTGTCTCTGTCTTGTTCTCTCTCTGTGCACCCTGAGCCCGTCCTGTGAAGAAGCTTGGGCCAGCCTGACTAAGACAGACTTGACGTCTATTACTCGAGAACATTTGTCATGTCAATTTTTTCTCTGTCCCTTTGAGAGGTATGTAAATCTTTTTTTTTTTTTAAGATTTATTTATTTTAGAGGAAGAGCGAGCATGAGCGGGGCGGGGGGGGGGCGGCACGGGGAGAGAAGGAGACAGGCAGACTCCCTGCTGAGCGGGGAGCCCCATGCAGGGCTCGATCCCAGGACCCTGAGCCAAAAGCAAGAGTCCGATACTTAATGGACTGAGCCACCCAGGTGCCTCAGATGTATGTAAATCTTTCTTAAAAAGCCTTTGTCAGTTTTATAATCCAGGACTTTCCCAAGGATGACCCCTGGGGGAGATAGCACCCCCCTGTCCCTGTCTCTGGGGGAGGGTAGGAGCCTAACTTTGATCTCTTGGAGACCCAGCCCACGCTCAGACAGGAGCAAAGCCATCTGAGACGGCCCAGTGCAGGCCCAATGCCATCCGATGCCTATGACCTGTCCTAGCGGAGCTCAGCCCAAACCACTGGCCCACAGAATGAGGAGCAAATAAAATCGTTGCTGGGAGCCGCTGTTGGCGCGGGTGGTGATGTGGCAGTGGATACAGATGCACTTCTCCTGGGTCGTGACTGTGCTGCCTGGGTGGGGGCCCGCCTTGACTCCGTTGGCCAAACCCCCGGGAAAAGGACCTGTTGTCTCTGAGCTCCAGATTCTTCAGACCCCGACTGTGAGGCCAGGACCGAGACTCTGCAAAGCAGGCTTCTCCTTTGCCGGCCCCGTCCCTTAGGTTCTGCTGGCAGGAGCCGTGGGAAGCCCTAGGGCAAGGAGGAAAGGACCGCAGCTCTGCTTGCTTCTCACTCCTGCTCCACCCAGGAGCCTGCGGCTTCCAGCGCCCCCAGCACCAGCACATGGTGCGGGAGGAGCTCCCGGGGCAGGCAGTCTCAGCTGTGTGGGGCTCCTCGGAGGCTCTGAAAAGCCCAGAGTCCTCTCTGTTCTCCCAGACGTTGGGGTGGGAGCTGTTTTCCTTTTTTGCTCTTACGTTTCTCCCACCTCATTTAACCAGTTCCCCACATTAAATTCTCTTTGTTGAAATACCTAGTGTGGATTCTATAGACTCCATGGTCAAACTCTAGGGGCACCAAGACTGCTCCTAGGTTGGATGTTGCATTGAACTTTGTAAATATTTATAGGAAAGTAACCCCATCTCCCTTGCTCCTGAGGGATCTCTTCCTACGATCCATGGACAGGAGAGCCTGGATTGCAGACTCTTAGAAAATCTAATTGTAGATCACAGTGGGAGAGACCACGAAACACCTCAGACCTAACAGGAGGGAGTAAATCCTGAGAAATTTGCATCGTTTACGTCTTTCTCCACATCACACAGTTCTGCCTACAGTCTCTCCGCCTGTGCCTGGGGCAACCCACATCCCATAATGGGCAGCTCGTGATGGGTGGAATGGAGGTGAGCCTGGAGAAAAGCCACCTTTGTCCTAAAGGAAGGAGGAGGAGGTGGGGATGGGCTTTCTCCTCTGTGATCCTATTTGCGTCTTGTATTTGTGGCAATTCGTGACCTCAGAGGCCACCATGAGCAGAGAAAAAGGACCCAGATAGATCTTGGTGCACCTGTCATCCCGGTTGCCATGGAATTGCCATAAATTCAAACAAAAGCAAGGGGGGGTTACAGCCCGGGGTGATTCTGCAGCGTCCACCAATTTCAGTCCTCGGTCCTCTCCAGCTGTGTGTCTCCCTTTTGAAGACTCGCTCAGACTCCCCATCCTTTTTCTACCTGACCCTCGTGTGAAGTTGGCTGGAGCAGGAGATCACGAGTCGGGGACCACTGCCAACATGAAGGCCGTGTGTTGCCAAAGGGGCGTCTTAACTGCCACAAAGGAGCGAGAGGTCAGGGAGGCCAGGAGTGCTTCGCTGTGGGTGAATTTGGAAACATCCCCCCCCCATGGAGCTGCAGGGCCAGGGGTGTGTTGGGGGCCACGGCCGTGCTCCCACCATCCCTCCTCACGGACTAGGCCACGGCCCCCCGGGGGGAAGCAGGTGTGTTCTTCGATGCAAAGCAGCAAGGTTCATGAGACCTTGGGAGGAGTGCGGGAAGCGTGCAGGGCTCGCTCACTGCCCCCGAGGAGTCTGTAAACGGGCGATTCCATACTGGTTTCTGTTTCAGGGCCTGAACAAATCACTACTGTCTCCTACTTTGTAAGAGCCAATAAAGAAGGTGGTGGAATTCGCTGGTGCAGTTTCTATTGAACATGGTAGGAACAAATTCACGTTAATTAACAATGGGGGGAAAAAAGCCAGAGTTTTGCTTGGCTTCTCCAGGCCTTGTGTTTGCCAGGAATCCCTTCTGGAGGCACATGCTTCACCTTGCATTACCGAGGGGAGTTGAACGCCGTCTGCACCCACAGCATGTGCCCGGATGCCACCCTGATTCAAAGCACACGGTGGTGATGTAGGTGACTGCTTGCTCCAAAATACAGTGAATTGATAGAATTTGAGATGCAATAAAGCCGGCAGATCAGGAGCCGATCGCCATTGAAAAGAGTTGGTTTCTCACCGATCCCAAGAGGAGGGGCGCACCACTCGGTGGTGGGGGGTCATCCGGGGAGGTAGCAGGGCCAGTCAGGAGGCAGGGGGAGGAGGAGACTGTGGGCAAGGGCCTTAATTGTGGTTTCCATGGGAAGGCATCGGCGAGGCGGGGAAGCGGGGTTAGGACTGGCTAGTCAGAGTAACTTCGGTGGTTGCCCAGCAACTGCCCCGGGCTGATTAGGGCAGGTGGAGAGTGGCCGGAGCGTGAGAGCCCCATAGAGGAAGTGGTGGGGGTGTGTGCCCTGGACTGGTGGGTTTGCACTTGGAAAGCTTCTGTGCAGTTGTTTGCTGTCCCT